ATTGTACTTGCAAGTGATATTAATGATATTGTTCAATAATTTCCACATTCTGTTGGATCACCTTTCTTTGGAATGGGCACAAATATGGATCTCTCCAAGTCAGTTGGCCAGGTAGCTGTTTTCCAAATTTCTTGGCAAAGATGAGTGAGAGCTTTGAGCATTGCATCCATTTGTTGAAACATCTCAGTTGTTATTCTATCAATTCCTGGAGTCTTGTTTTTCTCTGATGCTTTCATTGCAGCTTGGATTTCTTCCTTCACTACTATTGATTCTTGATTATAGGCTACCTCCTGAAATAGTTGAATGTTGACAAATTCTTTTTGGTACTCTGTATATTCCTTACATCTTCTTTAGATGCTTCCTGTGTCCTCTAATTTTTTGCCCATGTTGTTGTTGTTAGGTGCTGTCAAGTTGGCTCCAACTCATAGTGACCCCACGTACAACAGAATGAAACACTGCCTGGTCCTGCATAATTTTATATAAAGGACTTGAGTATCCATGGATTTTGGTATTCACAGGAGTCCTGGAACCAATCCCCCATGGGTACCAACAGATGATTATATTTGCAATAAATAAGTTGTTGGTCTTGCAAAATTTGATCATGCAATTGCATGATCTGGCATTGCTTCTATCACCAAGGCCATATTTTCCAGCTGCTGACCCCTCTTTGTTTCCAACTTTTGCATTCCAATCTCCAGAAATTATCAATGCATCTTGATATCACATTTGATCAATTTCAGATTGTAGAAGTTGGTAAAAATCTTCAATTTCTTCATCTTTGGCATTAGTGGTTGGTGCATATATTTGAATAATAGTTGCATTAATAGGCCTTCCTTGCAGGTATATGGAAATTATCCTATCACTGATAGTGTTGTACTCAGGATAGATCTTGAAATATACATATTTTTAATGAATATGATCCTATTCCTCTTCAATTTGTCATTTGTGGCATAGTAGACCATATGATTGTCTAGTTCAAAACAACCCAATACCAGTCTATTGCAGCTCACTAATGCCTAAGATATCAATTTCTATGCATTTCATTTCATTTTTGATGACTTCCAATTTTCCTAGAGTCCTATTTCATACATTCCATGTTCCAATTATCAATGGATGTTTACAGCTGTTTCTTCCCATTTTAAGTCATGCCACAACAGCAAATGAAGGTCCAGAAAGCTTTACTCCATCCCTGTCATTAAGGTTGGTACTACTTTGAGGAGGCAGCTCTTCCCCAGTCCTATTTTGAGTGCCTTCCAGCCTGAGGGGCTCATGTGCCAGTACTGCATCAGACAATGTTCTGCTACTAAGCATAAGGTTTTCACTGGCTAATTTTTTTTTTTTTTCAGAAGTAGATCTCTTTTTCTTATCCTACTGCATTAGCTAGGCCTTCCAAAAATCATTTAACAACAGAACGAATGCTACAGCTTTGTCTCTTTTCTTTTCTGTTTAACAGCTTTGTCTCGTTTCTTTTCTGTTTAACAGCTTTATTGAGATAGAATTCAATTTATATGAGAAAAAAAAAAAAAAAGTAAAACTTCAGTATGAAAGAGATTCCATATGAAAAGATTGGATTCAAAAAGTTAAAACACAAATAATATCCGGGAGAAAATATTTGCAACATGTGTGAGTGGCAAAAGATTAATATTCTTAATTCTACAAGGAGCTTTTATGAATTAACAGGCAAATAAGGAATATCATAGGAGCTCTGGTAGCATAGTGCCTAAGGCACTAGATTGCTAGCCAGAAGGCTGGCGGTTCAAACCCACCAGCCACTCCTCGGAAGGAAGGTTGGGCAATCCTACTTCCGTAGTGATACTGCCTCAGAAACCCAAGGAGGGGTCGCTATGAGTCGGGGCCGACTCGACGGCAAACAACAACAACAACAATGGCTTACAGGGAGCTCTGGTGGAGTAGTGACTAAGGCATTTGACTGCTAACCCGTAGACTGGCAATTCAAAACCACCAGCCACTCCTTGGAAGGACGTCTGGGCAATCTACTTCCATGGAGATACTACTGCAGAAACCCAAGGTGGGGTCACTATGAGTCGGAAACTATGACAGTGAGTTTGTTTGTTTGTTTAATGGCTTATAAGTGTTCCTGATTCTTTGCATTCTTAACAATGTAAGCCATTAGTAGGAGTAAAAATTGGTACACTCATTGGGAAGGCATTTTTTTCTTTAAATTTATTTTACTGTTGAGAATTTACAGAACAATGGGAATGCATTTTGTCTCGAAACATATCCAAAGGAAAGAATTTTGCCACAGCATGTATATTTATAATACATATATAAGATGATCCTAAACAGCAGATTAGTTAAACAAACTGTATTTCACTCATACAATGGAGCTCTGTATTTGTTAGCATAGAAATGTCAGTGAGAAAATCAGGTTGCTCAATAGTTCGTGTAACATTCCACTTATGTAAAATGAAATATATATCTTTATTTTATATACATATATATATATTAAAGAGTATGAAAATATGTGTTTCAAAATGTTAATACTATTTGAGGAAAAAAGGAGAGTATCAGTTAGTCTGTTTCAATTACAAGTAATAGAAAATTAGACACAAATTGGCCTGAACAATAGATGAAATATATTGGCCAACTAACCAAAATACTCAGAGGTAGAGTGGGCTTTGGTAGGGGTTCAACAGTGGCTTTCTGCTGCCAGCTTTTTTTCTGTCTTACCCCCTGCCTTCCCAGGCAAAAGGCACATTCCAAGTTTGGCTCTCCTTGGTGGTGGGAGGGCTGCTGGCACAGTCAGGACTTTGGGTTTGTTCAGTCAGGCCCAATGGGGCAGGGTGTCTCTCTTCACCCATCACACACATCAGAGGGAAGTTTGGGGCTTCCCTCTGACTGGACCATATTAGGTCATGTGCTTGTTCCAGCATCATGCACTATGTTGACATCACACTCTAGAGTCCTCTTTGGAAATCTGGGGGGCAATTTTGGTTGTCACGATGATTTGGCATTTAGTAAGTGTGGGCTGGTGTATTAGATCTCTGGTAATGCATTGGTTAGAGTGATCTCACATCTTGCACAATGCAATGTCCCAAATGACATTAATACAGATTAATAAAAAGCAAAAAAAAAAATCTGTTTACAATAATTTGAATTTAGCCCCTAACTCCATTTTGCATATAAACATGTGTTAGACTGAGTTCTCCAGAGAAACAAAACCTTATCACCAGAAGTCTCATTAGTTACTCCTACTCAACTGTCTAGTTGATATTTCCCCTTTCTTGGGCCCATCTTGTCTACTCAACCTGAGCAAGGTTAGGACTGTGAGTTAAAAACAAATTAGTAAAACGTAATAGGTATCCTATAAATGCTTGGCTTCTTGTTTAATATCCTGTCTCTCCCCTAATGTGGATATTGCTCACTCTGTGCACAAGACAGTATCTAGGACCTTAGAAAAACTATCACTTTATGCTGGCAGAAAAATCACTGAAAATGGCACTACACTAGTTTCATATTGCTGCCATAAGAAATCACAAAGTAGGTGGCTTAAAAGAGCACACATTATTATCTACAGTTCTGTACATCAGAAGTCTGACATAGGTCTTGCAGAGCTAAAATCAAGGTATCAACATAGCTGTGTTCTTTCTAGGGGCTCGAGGGGGGATTCCCTTTCCTTGCCTTTTCCCACTGTTAGAGGCCTCTTCATTCCTAGACTTATGGCCCCCTACCTCCATCTTCAAAAGGAGCAAAGGTTGATCCAGTCCTTACACTGCATCACTCTGACCTCTGCTTCTGCTTCTCTCTTCTACTTTTAAGGACTCTTGTGACTTCATTGGGCCCATTTGTATAATCCAGAATAATCCATCTATTTTAGGTCAGATGATTAGTAACTTTAATTCCTCTTTGCCATGTAACCTAACATATTCAGTTTCCAGGAATTAGGGCATGGGCATCTTTGGAGGGCCTTTGTTTCTATCCACCACAAGCACCCTTGCCCAAAAGTCTAAATTGAGGGTTTCCATGCAGGCAGTAGGGGGTGTGACAATAAATGGGAAAGAGCTCTAAAGAATTACAAAATCTCTTCAAATATAGGGAGGCCTGCTGTGTGATCTTCGGCAAATCACTTGAGTCTCAGTATCCACTAAAATGAAAAGTAAGCCACTAATTGCTAACATTTGCTCTGTGTTAAACAATTATGTAAACAGGCTTAGAGGCTGACAAATTGTAAAGCATCACGAAGTTCTTGGTGAATCTTAAAGAGGAGGATGGGCAAAGTTATCTGAATGACATCTGGAAGTAGCTTGAAAGATTTCCGGAAAGAAGTTAATGAGAAAAGCCTGTTCGTTAATGGAGCTGGAGATAGAAAATTCCAGCAAAAGAAATCAAGTTTCACTGGAGAGGATTTTAAATTAAGATCTGCAGCTAAAGAGGGTAAATGAAGAAAGCTCTTTATAAGATCTCCATATCTCAGTACTACATTGAAAGTGGAAATCTGTGATGTCTTTGAGGCAAAGATTACATTTTTGTGAAAATTTCATCCTATTTAATGTAACGTCAGGTACTTCGCAATTATACAATGATTTAGTGGATAATAAAAAGCAGATAGAAATGCAGGTTCCACCGAGATTTGAACTCGGATCGCTGGATTCAGAGTCCAGAGTGCTAACCATTACACCATGGAACCGCCATACACATAAGCTTGCCTTCAGCTCTCTAAACCTAAGAGAACCCCGCCCCCATCAGCCAATCCACCATCTGCATGGAGACCGGTCTGACGTGTTTCCAGCACCGGGTTCCAGCAAGGTAGCGCGACATGGGTAAGGAATGAGCGAGAGGCCATTAAGAGTGTGATCAGCGATCACTGAGAGTGCGGTAGCTGGGAATCCCGGACTCATTTTCCTATTTGAGCCTCTTTCAGGTACTTCGAACTCGAATAATGTCGCCACGTACCCAGCAATCACCTTCCTAAGCTCAGAGGCGGGGCGCTACCTCCCCGGAAGTACTTCCCCTTAGGGGCTGGGGCCTGCCGGAAGTGGCGCAGCAGCAGGGAGGGGCTCTTAACCCGGTTCAGCAACTGAAGCTTGGTGCTCGGGTTACCCCTGCAGCGACGCCCCCTGGTCCCACCGATACCACTGCTGCTCCCGCCCCTTCGCTCTTCGGCCGCGCAATGGGCACCCGCGACGACGAGTACGACTACCTGTTCAAAGGTGAGACCATGAGCTCTGCCACTCTCTACTGAGTTCCCCTTCAGGGGCCCAGGACACTCCCGGGGGACTCGCGCGCCGGCCACCCTTGCACTGAAATGGGCCTGCCTCAGCCCTTCCTTTCTGTGCGGTTCGTCCTGGCGTTTCCCAGCTCAGCCTTTTCTCCCCTGATACAGGGGGTCCCCACCACACACCCATCTCATAACGATCTCCCCGTAGGCCCTCGCTAGCCTCGGAACCCCTCACTGTGCCCTGACGGCGACTGCCTTCTCCCAAATTGCCTTCCTCCTTCTTTTCCCTGGGTTCTAAGGCTCCTTGACAGGGCCCCTCCCGCCATCTATCTTTTCCGCCTTAGCGCCCCTCCCCCTCAGTATACAACCCTTCCTTGCTCACATCCCCTCTTTGAGCCCCTCTGGCAGGCCCTTCGCTTTCCTTTTCGTCTTTCGGCCAGAAGACTTCCACTACAGGTTTTTTTCTTACCGGCTTCCCTTTACCACCGAGCGAGCCTTCCATCTGTTCACAGCCCCTCCCCTTGGACGGACGACCCTCCTAGCCGGTTTCCTTCATTCTTCGGCCAAGCCCTAGTAAAATCTAAACCGGCCAATGGCCTCCACCCGTACCTACCCACCCCACTACCCCCGCAGATCTCGCGTTCAGTAACCTTCCTGGACCGCCCCACGGATTGGCAGCTTTTTCTCTACCTGCCTTCCCCAAATTGTATTTATAGCTTCCTCGTCTCCATTGCGACCTCGGGGAGGGAGGTGGGTAATAGGAATTGTCTGTCACCCACGCGCGCACTTGTCGCAGTGACCCGGCAGGCTGTTAGGACTTCGACTCTTGCCGGCCCTTCCCAGCGGCATCCAGTCTGGGATAACTCATGAGAAGGGGTTGCGGATGGGTGGTGGCTGTTATCCTTGCCAGACCTGAAGGCCCAGTTCCTGAGCAGGAAAGGTTGTGCGCTGTACAAATAACTAGCTTGCTTTATCACTATGGTCTGGTTGCTTCCTGCTGCAGCACTAGGAGGATCCAATCTTTGGGTGTTTTTAGAACAGGAAGGAAAGAGTCCTAGTTGGCTCCATACCTTTCCCAAAAGGTGGTGGTGGTGGTGAGGGTTTGAGCACTTTTAGTCATATAAAATACTTAGTAGGAGATGGAGAAACATGTAGTCCCCTTTGACAAAACATTTTGGAAGCTGGGGAGAGGTTGGATAGAAAGAATTGTCTATTAGTCCGGGAAGAATCCTTTTTTTTTTTTTTTTTTAAATCAGCAAAGACAGAAGGTAAGGTACAGTTGTCAATGAGAAAAGAGTACAGGGAATGCTTTTTTTTTTGTTCTGTGAATGTGTCGTCCTTTTTCTGTTTCTGAATTAGGAGGGCAGCCATCAGTAATGTGCTGAACAAAGATCATTACCAGGGAGGAAGAAGCCATTGCTATTAAAGCTTTACAGTGGAGGGTGGAGTTTAAAAAGAGTGTTAGGAGGTACTGTATCTGTTTCTAACTTAGCCATTGAGTGCTAAGAATGATTGACTAAATGAGCCAGAAAACATTTCTTTGCTTTACCAGTACTTTGCAAATCTTGTTATTCTAGCTCATGATACACCCTTATCACTTACTCCTTGGAGCCAAAATATGCTATTATATGAGGCTCTAACCATCAGTATCCATCCTCACTCCTGTACTGGAAAGGCATTTACAGAGAAGAGGGTATGTGTATTTTACAAATATAAAAGGGAAACCTAGATTAGTTTCTGTCCTGTGTCTGCTGAAGGTATCTGACATGATGTGAAATTACTCTGAGTGCCTGTAGACTTTGGGGTTTAGTGATTAAAGAGAGGTTTGTTTTTTTTAAAGGAACACAATGGCAGTGGGAAGCTAGGTACCTTTGAAGTAATTCAGAACAAGATAGATTGTTAAAAATATTTCTCCTGTTTGGTTTGTAACTTGAACATTAGTTATAGAAATCTGTTTATTTTTAAATTAATAATATTAATTATCCTGAATTAGTTTAAGGAATGTAAAGTTCTGATAGCAAAATAATTTTGCAGTTAGACCACCCGTCTAACAGTGATTGAGGGCTTTGGAATCACATAGACCTTGATTCACATCCTGACTCAGGTCTTATATTTGCTTTGTGACCTTGGAAAAGTTAACCTTTTTGAATTTCAATTTCCTCATCTATAAAAAGGAAATGGGACCCCTCAGGACTATGTAAGGATTAAATGAGACTGAAATTTTAGCTTTTGTGAGATCTCTATAATAAATGATAATAACAAAGAAATTACTACATTTTTATCAGTCTTTTGGAACTTAAAAGTATTATGAATACATGAGCATTTAAATGTTAGTAAAGAAACTCAAAACTAGGACCTTCTGAAGTATTTCATGTTTCCATGAGTTAACGTTTCATTTTGTTGCACATTTTGCTATTTAAAATAGGGTGTTTTTAAAAGTCTGTTGGTAAGTATTTTCACTTTTTAAAGGCATTACAGGATATGAATCACTTTTTAAAAACTTCAGTGCTAATTATTTAGCCAAATTCTTATTTATGCAATAATCATATTTTAAAGTGAAGGAAGAATTTCATTTTTAAATGGTTTCATTTATAGAGACAAGCTGTATCTCTGTAAGAAGGCTTACCTAGCAAACTAAATAGTTGAGAAAATTGGAAGATAGTTTATAACTTTAACCAGTTGAAAATGAAAAGATATTTTGATTAGGATAGGATGTTCTTGTCTCGTTATATGTGGTCCAGTAGACCCCCACTCATAGTGAGCTTTCCTTGGGTTTCCCAGGCAGTGCTGCCCAACCTTCCTTCCGAGGAGTTCAAACCCACCAGTCTTCTGGTTAGCAATCAAGTGCCTTAGGCACTACGCTACCAGAGCTCCTAGGATAGGATGGAGTGGTCCAAATGGGAATTAGATGTGGGGAGAGCAGGACAATTTTTCTAAATTACAAGTTTCTTCTTAACATTAACTAATCTTTAGTTAATTTTGAGAGTGAGACTTTTGGTGGGAGGGAATTAGTTTTATTTTTTAAAACTTGATATTTTATATTAAAAACCTTAATTCTACAGGAGTATGAATCATAGTTCCTGTTTACAAATGAATGTGATAGACACCAATCTAATGGAAGTCACATTTTCTGAAAATATGTGCATACGTCGTCTGTTGCTTACAGCATTTTCTTTTCAGTTTCACTGAAGGCCATTAGTAATTAACCATCAGCTGATTGTCAGTAGAAAGGATCATAGGAACTTTGCTATCTTGCATCTTGGTTATTTTTCTTTCCCAACTTTTGGTTGAGCAACTCAGATTTTGCTGAATCTAGAAAAACTTGTCTAGACTTCAGCCTTATTTGAATGCATTTTATTTTAAACACTTGATTGGATTCTGAATATAGTTGAAAGAGTAGAAACATCTCCATGTCCATTTATAAATATCAATATGAAAATGATTAGTTATTTCATCAGGGGGTAACTTTTCAGACAGATATACTGTGATTGATAATATTGAATTAAATTTTAATCTATTAAATTAGTCAGCAGGAGAGAGTATAAAACTAAATGTGTTTGTAGAGATAGAAATTTGTGTTAAATAGTGGATAATTTATACATATATTTTGATTTTATTAAGGAGCTGTGGTGGCACAGTGGTTAAAACATTTCATGGCTAGCCAAAAGGTTGGCAGTTCAAACCCACGGGCTGCTCCATGGGAGAACGATGAGGCAGTCTGCTTTCATAAAGATTTATGAAACCCTATGGGGCAGTTCTACTCTGTCTTATAGGGTTGCTATGAGTCGCAATCGACTCAGTGGCAGCAGGTTTGGTTTTGGTGGGTTTTGCTTTTATGGCATTTAGCAGCCGGATATTTGACATAGATTATGAACAAAATTTACAGTTGTTTATTAGAGATGATACTTAAAATTCATCAGATGAGGTTAACCAGGTGGTGATAGTGGTGATAAATACTGTCAGGTTATTTTGGAAATGCTGTTTGTTTGGTTTTGGTTATAGACGTTTAATACCTAGATGCTATTGTTTAATTTGGTTATATTAGTTAGTACATAAATGCTATATAGATAGTTATAGTTATAAAATGTTTAAAGTAGAAATAATTTTAACCTAAGATACTAGTTATGGAAAACATCGAAACCAGCCAGTTGCTGTTGAATCAACTCCTACTCACGGACCTCTTGTGTGTCAGAGTAGAACTCTGCTCCATAGGGTTTATCAGTAGCTGATTTTTTGGAAGTAGATCACCAGGCCTTTCTTCTGAGACACATCTGGGTGAACTCCAACCTCCTTGTGGTTATCAGCTGAGTACTTTAACTGTTGGCATTACCCAGGGACCTCTATCTAACAAGGAACAGAAAACCAAATAACAAACCTAGTGCCATCAAGTTGATTCTGACTCATAGCGCCACTATAGGACAGAGTAGAAGTGCCCCATGGGGTTTCCAAGGCTATAAATCTTTACAGAAGTAGACTGCCTCATCTTTCTCTGTGGAGTGGATGATGGGTTTGAACTGCCGATCTTTTGATTAGCAGCCCATTGCTTTGACCACTGCACCATCAGAGCCCTTCTAACCAGGAAGGTCACTGCCAATTCCTTTCTTTTTTTAAATTGTGATTTGGGTGAAAGTTTACAGAACAAGTTGGTTTTCCATTCAACAACCCATACACATTCTGTTTTGTGACAATCCCTACACTGTAATAGCTTTCTTTCTACTTCCTCCCTGTGCCTACCTCTTCCCTTTGTCCTTCCTTCCCAATCCCTCCAGCCTTCCTAGCTCTACCGCTGGGCAAATGCTGTCCTCTTGATCTCAAATGCTTCATTGTTCTAATCAGTGCATACCCTCCTGATAATACTGTTCACCTTATGTTGTTGTTGTTATGTGCCGTTGAGTGGGACCTGACTCATAGCACCCTTTCTTGGGTTTCCGAAGCGGTATCACTATGGAAGTAGATTGCCCAACCTTCCTTCCAAGGAGTGGCTGGTGGGTTTGAACCGCCAGCCTTCTGGTTAGCAGTGAAGTACCTTAGACACTAAGCTACCAGAGCTCCGTTCACCTTATAGATCTGTCTTGTTCGGCTGCCATTTGAGCCACAGGGCTAAATTCATTTCCTAGCTTGAAAAGGGTAAGGGCCATAGTCTTGGGGGGCAAATTCCTCCTTTCTTGAAGCATGGATATGACTATAGCTTCTCACATTTTTAAAACAAAATGTAAATGAGAGAAATTTCTATGGTTTCTCACATTTTAAAACAAATCTAAATGAGAGAAATTATTTTCAGTAAAATTATTCAAATTTGAGTCGATGGAGAAAAGTGTATGAAGTTAGGTTTTTTGGGGGGGTTGGTTATCACAGCCAGTACATTCTCTTGTGTTGTTTAGGTAATTTAATCCATTCTAGTTTATTTGCATGATCCTAAATGTAATTCTGCATATTTTGATTTCTCATTTGGTGACTGAATAGAAGCAGTTTTCCTTTTTTTGTGTTATCTCTCAGCATCTTCTTGGCAGCACTGTTCTTAAAGAACTAGTGTCTTTTGTGCTCATTTAATAAGTAATCCTTTAACAAGTTGCTACTTTTAATTATGGCAATAGTGTCTATGAATAGTTGAGATAACTATTTTGTACTGTAGAAAGGATTCACGGTTGTTTTAGTTCTTTGGGCTACCGAAACCAAAAAAAAACCAGATCACTGCTGTCGAGTCTGTCCTGACTCATAGCGACCCTACCTTGGGTTTCCGAGGCGGTATCTCTCCGCAAGTAGATTCCATCACTATTTGTTGATGTAAAGATTTGAAGATTTTCCCATAATTAATATAATTAAAGTGAAGATCAAAAGGGAAGAAACCTTAACTTGAAATTGCTGGAGGTTTTGTGGGAGGGTGAGGGTCTTTGAGTTTTTTTGTTTGTTTTATTAATTTTCCAAAAGTGTTGTCATGTTTTGCTCATGTGCTTGTGTACTGTTTGGCTTTAAACTAAATGACTGGCTTCTGAATTACTGATTGACATCAAAGTACCCACCGCTTGTCTGTCAACTTTTGTCTCACTGTGATGACTTGTATGTTGCTTTGAGGTTGGAAGCTGTGCTACCGGTATTTGAAATGCCAACATGGTCACCCATGGTAGTAGACAGGTTTCAGAGTATCTTCTAGACCACCTGGTGATCTTCTTCTGAAAATTAGCCAGTGAGAACCCTGTGGATTCCAGCAGAAAATTGTCCAATATAGTCCTGGAAGATGAGCCCCCTAGGTTGGTAGGCACTCAAGATACACACTGTCCACAAAAATTGGACTGATAGTGAAGATGGCACAGGACCAGGCAGTGTTTAATTTTGTTGTACATGAATTTGCCATGAGTTGGAGCTGTCACAATAACAATGTGAAGTGGAAACATTGTAACATTTTGGTTTTACCCTTCCTTCTACCCACTGCCATTAAGTGGATTCCAGCTGAGAGTGAGCTAGCCTGTAGAACAGAGTAGAACTCCATAGCGTTTCCTCAACTGTAAATCTACCTCATCTTTCTCTTGTAGAGTGGCTAGTAGGTTCAAATGGCCAACCTTTTTGGTTAGCAGCCAAATGCTTTAACCACTGTGCCATCAGAGCTCCTGTTCCTATCTCGAGTTAGGCTTTTAAACCCCAGTGCTAGTGTGGGACCAGAAGTGATTCAAAGCAGGTTTCCTCTTCTGTATTAGGAAGCATAATAGACTATTAACTGAAACTGGGTTTTGACTTCATGTCCAGAATGTAGACCTTGGAAACATATCAATGAACTATCCTGTAAAATTGAAAATGCTTTGTTTTTGTTCCTTATCGCATGACCTTGATGTCTTTTTCCTCAGTATCCAAATTTAATGTAATATATGTCTTCAGTACAACACCTTTGACACCCTCTAATTGACTATATAGTTAGAAATAATTACTCTCTGTGCTGCATGGAGTCACTGCTGCCTGGATGATTTCTTGCTGAATCAGCTGGTAAAGGAAGCCAGAAAGATATGCATTTGATAGTGTACTCTCTCCAAGACTGTCCAGAGGCCAGCTTATATCCGATCCTGTGGCAAGAAAGAAATGCATAATGGGCTCTCTTTGCCCTCTGACCAGAGTGCAGTGAGCTCTCATAGTTTTTACTGCCCTTTCCGACTCTCCCACCAAATCCTGGTTTCTTTAGTAAGGCCTCTTATTATTCTTGCATACTTGATTTTCTAGTCCTGGTGTCTAAATGAATTCACTAGTTAGGCAGATAAGAGGAAGAAGCTTTAGAAGTCAACAGTAGGAATAATTAAAATGTCTTTCTTCAAATGCTGATAAAAAATTTTTTGCAAAGGGAAATACATACCTCAGATTCTGTAAGCTGTGAATTCATTTTCTTCTTTAAACTCAGAAAGTGCTTTGAAACAATTTGACTTAATTGCCTATTTCCTCATAGTTTTTGAAATTCTAAGTGTAGTATTGCTTTGGATGAGAAACAGTCTGCATGTGTTCAGTTAGTAAATAAGCTGCCTCTTGTGATACTCAGAGGAGGTGAATTCATCTAAGCAAAACCTATCTTTAAAAATCTCTGAAGTCATAAGTGAAAGTGTATGCCCTTCTTGCTTTGGCCTTGACTCAGAGATGAGTAGAATTATCAGTCTGCTTCCCAGGTCCAGCATTTATCCTTAGTGTTTTTTTGTTTGTTTGTTTGTTTTAACTCTAGCTTCCTATTCAAGTCTGTTACATGCAACTGTTTGTTTATTTTTGCTGTGATTTGGGTGAAAGTTTACAGAACAAATTCCTTTTCCATACAGTAGTTCATATACATTTTGTTTCATGACATTGATTACAATTCCCATAATGTAACAGCTCTCTTCCCATTTATTCCTTGTGGTTACTTTTTTCCTATGTCCTATGCATTCCTGCCCGCTGAGCTATCTCCCTGTTCAAATACTGCCCTTCTGATCTCCCATGATTGATTGTTCTAGGGAGTATACCTAGCTGGTGTAAATACTCACTTTATATGCCTGTCTGTTATTTGCCTGGAAGCCAGGGGAGTGAATTCAGTAGTCTCAGGGGTTTCACCAGTCTCTTTCAGACCAGTAACCCTGGTCTTTTTTATGCTCTTGAGTTCTGTTCCACATTTTTCTCCCACTCTATCCAAGATCTCCTGCACTGATCTCTTCTCAAGAGTTGACAGTGGTAGCTGGGCACCATCTAGTTCTTCTGGTCTCAGGGTCATGTAGGCTGAGGTTCCCTTGGACTGATTGTTTCTGTGCATCTTTGGTTTTCTGATAAATGTACCTATTAAAAGGTCATTGTAGTTTCTGTGATCTGAGTGGCAAAGTTTATAAGCCTGGTGCCTCATGTTTCGAGTGTTTCATTTTGCCTTGTTATCAGTCCAGAGGTCACACCTAGTCTTTGATGAAACTAAGTACAACATATTCATTCTCTTCCTCTCCATCCACTAACATTCTTTATTATTTTCATGTCTGATATATTTTAATATCACAGATTATCCATTTGGTTGACAATTTATCTATTAAGTCACTATTTCCTAAGATAGTAAAGTTAATAAAGCATTAATAGTAGTTAATGCATTAACCTATCATCAGAGTCTTTTGGGCCTATGATTAAAATTACACATTTTAAGATAGGATACTATTGTTGTAGCTTCACGTGCTAATAAGCAGATGGTTTGTAAAAGTCATTCTGCAGACAGAGATTGGTTACAAAGAATAAATTTCTCTTCTTGATTGGTAACAGGTCAAGAACATGCACTATTGAACCTTCCCACCTCAGTGGCCACTTTTAAAATAGATGCTCTATCTTTTTTTCTTTATTTACCCTGAAGCCAAACTTCTTTTATTGAAAGCATAGCCGTATTCTGAACATTTATGCCTCCTGTACCTGACATTACGTTATTTGTTTTTTCAGTTGTCCTTATTGGAGATTCTGGTGTTGGAAAGAGTAATCTCCTGTCTCGATTCACTCGAAATGAGTTTAATTTGGAGAGCAAGAGTACCATTGGAGTAGAGTTTGCAACAAGAAGCATCCAGGTGGATGGAAAAACAATAAAGGCACAGATATGGGACACAGCTGGGCAAGAGCGGTACCGAGCTATAACATCAGCGTAAGTCTCATTTTTAAGTTCTGTAATGTAGGCCACCATCAAGTTAATTAGATGACTTTTGTTAATGGAAAAGTACTGTTTTGTGGGTTTTTTTTTTCCTTTTAAGAATTCCAGGATTAAGATTTGAAATTTGTTTAAAAGTGGGTTTTTAAAAAATGTAATCCATATTTTGAGTTCTTCTTAGTGTTTTGCTTCTATCTTGTACTTGTTTTCTAATAGTTACGTGTATTGTGTTTTCAGATATTATCGTGGAGCTGTAGGTGCTTTATTGGTTTATGACATTGCTAAACATCTCACATATGAAAATGTAGAGCGATGGCTGAAAGAACTGAGAGATCATGCTGATAGTAACATTGTTATCATGCTTGTGGGCAATAAGAGTGATTTACGCCATCTCAGGGCAGTCCCTACAGATGAAGCAAGAGCTTTTGCAGGTTAGTAATATATTCCATGGTAGTAAGGCAATTCTGTATTTCTTAATGTTTTGTCCTGCAGTTTGGATTAAACTCTTCCAGTAAGGATAGTAAATTACAGTAGTTTCAGAAAAGTAGAGAAATGCTCAGCAAGAATGATTGTTTTGAGAATTTGTGATGACTGTATGGTTCTTTGCTTACTGTTGAATCATTAAAACATGGTAGAATTTTGTTGCCAAAAAATTGAATATAAACGGTAGATGAAATCTATCAGTTTATTTTATGCTTCCTGTCTATTTTTCTAGTATGCCTCTGTATTTTATACATAGTACTCTGTGAGTCTGGGCATTTCAGAGACCGAAAGGAGTCTAGCTGCTCAGCAGCCATAATTTTTTGTTTGTTTCATAAAGGATCAGCCAATCTTGAGTTTCTGTTCTGGCCCCAGTCCTATGTCAGAATGCAACACTGTGCATTCTTGCTTAGAGAAAGTTGTGATCTTGAACTAGTAATTATGCTATGAGTAAGGTTTTGTATACCAGTCTTAAGTTTCTCAGATAAGGAGCAGCTTTATTTCAAATAATAAGATTACAGAATTTATTCTTAGTAAATCACATATACTCTTGTTCATACTATAACTATGTGGTTAATAGGGAGGAAGATAGTAGATATGTAAAACCAAAAACCAAACTCGCTGCCATTGTATCGGTTCTGACTCATAGCGACCTCTCTTTGGGTTTCCGAGGCAGTATCTCTACGGAAGTAGACTGCCCAGTCTTCCTTCCGAGGAGTGGCTGGTGGGTTTGAACCACCAGCCTTCTGGTTAGCAGTCAAATGCCTTAGGCACTGTGCCATCAGAGCTCCTGTAGATATACAGTACAAAAATAAATAAATAAATAACCAAACTCACTGCTTCCAGTTGACAGATAGTAGGGGATGAAAATAGCTGGTTATCTGATAGGTTCACTACATTTTGAATAATATCATTCATTGCTAGTGGTAGTATTTAGATATACCAAAAATACACTAACTCACTGCCATCGAGTTTAGTCTGACCCCATAGAGTTTCCAAGGCTGTAAAACTTTACAGAAACAGACTGCCTCATCTTTCTTTTAGTTAGCAGCCAAATGCCTTAACCACTGCACCAACAGAGCTCCTTGTATATAGATCGGGAAAAAAAAAAATAAAAAATCCAAACTCACTGCCACTGAGTTGGATCCGGCTCATAGCAACCCCTGCTTAGGTTTCTGAGGTGATATCACTGTGGAAGTAGATTGCCCGATCTTCCTTCTGAGGAGTGGCTGGTGGGTTTGAACCACCAGCCTTCTGGTTAGCAGTCAAATGCTATGCTACCAGAGCTCCTGTTTAGGTAATAAGTACATTTTAATTAAGCGATCAATCAGAATTTTTCACTGTTATTTTTAATCTACTAAATTGGAGATAGAATGGATCCCCTTACTGCCTGGGAAGTTGGGGTGGTTTTATATATTAGTTGTTGTTGTTATGTGCCATTGAGTCAGACCCAACTCATAGCAACCCCACCTTGGGTTTCCGAGGCAGTATCACTACGGAAGTAGATTGCCCGACCTTCCTTCTGAGGAGTGGCTGGTGGGTTTGAACCACCAACCTTTTGGTTAGTAGTCAAGTGCCTTACGCACTACGCTACAAGAGCTTCTATATAGATGATCCAGTCTACCTTGTGGGGAGCGGCTGGTGGGTTTGAACCACCAACCTTGTGCTTGGCAGGCGAATGCCTTAGGCCTGAGGCCATCCCACGGGTCTTATATTTTAGAAGGTTCTGTTATTTTTCTCCTGAGTGCTTTGAGTATATCACATTCCTTGTATCAAGACTTAATGTGACTGAAATTTTTGTGTTCCACACAGAAAAGAATGGTTTGTCATTCATTGAGACATCTGCTCTAGACTCTACAAATGTAGAAGCTGCTTTTCAAACAATCCTGACAGGTAAGACTTTCATTTGAGATTATACCACAGGGAATTGAAAGTTTTAGGAAGGTAATTTAAACAAATTAACCCAAAAATTGAAACTATATATGACACCATTCGAGAATGACTATTGTTTGAGAGCTAATATAGCAATAGTTATTTAGAGTACAAAATTAGTCACAGTCCTTGCTTGTTTGAGCTTCGGTCATCCCAATTCATCTGGTTTACAGTGGGGAGAAAGATACTTTGAAAATAATTTGTTCACTTCTATTATTACATCAGTAAATGTATTCCATACTTCCTCGTCACAAGCACAAAGTTATGCTTAAGTGTACTTTCCTTAGGTAAATATTGAGATCCCAGCTATGGGAAGATAAAAAAATCCTTTTGAAATTCAGTAACGAAAAGGCATTCTTAGGTCCAGTGTGTTGCAGGAAAGCTTGGGGAAAATATATACTTAAACTTTTTAATTAAAAAACAAAAAGTAAAATTCTCCTATGACATATTGTAGATGGAGACCTGCTAGAGACAGTCAGTCAGTCAGTTATTTCATATAAAAGTTTAAATAAGTAGTGGGAGAGGAACATAATTCATGCTGCTTTGGAACATGGTTGTGCAGACCAGGTCAAGCTTGGAGATAAGAAATTATTTTATTTGTATGTTTGCAAATATTTAATATTTCATTTACAAATATTTAATACAAATATTTACTCATATTTAATCTGACTTTATTAGAATCACCAAATTACTAGTAAATTTAATCTTAATTCTCTAATAAGTGCTTTTATGGGTTGTTTTTAAGTACTTTTAAAGTGTATATTATTTTTAAGAACTCTCATTGTAGAGTATAATATTAATATGTAGTAATCTTTAGATTTGCTCTGAAAAGTCTAGAGGGATAAATGGTTGAAAGAAATGAGTCTCTAATGATAATGTAACAAAATTTTGATTTACTCTTTTATATAGTACTTGTATTAGAGGTAAACAGATTTTAAATGAAATTAAAATGCTGTCTTATTTTACTGTAAAAATATAAAGAATAAAGCTTAGAGTTAAGAGCATGGACTTGGACTGGTCCTGACACCTCTACTTGTTAATGAACTTTGTAATCTTGGGCAAATTACTCAACCTTTCCAGACCTTAAAAAATAAGGCTTTCTTAATCTGTAAAATTCAGTATGTTTTGGGGAATTCTTTCTTTTTTGAGAGTGGGTTTAGATATGTTTTGACTTGACTGTTTTTGTTGTGATTTATAGTTATTTGTCTCTATTACCTGCAGAAAATAATGTTTTGTCACTAGATTCCAAAAATGGATACGTGAGGTAGTGCATGTAAAATACTGAGCTAGTCCCTGGTGCATACAAAAAAAAGAAACCCAATGCCACCAAGTCAATTCTGACACATAGCAACCTATAGGACAGGATAGAACTGCCCCGTAGGGTTTCCTAGGCTGTAAATCTTTACAGAAGCAGACTCCCTCATCTTTCTCCCATAGAGCAGCTGGTGAGTTCAGATTGCCAATTTTTTTGTTAACAGTCAAATGCTTTAACCACTATGCCAGCAGAGCTCCCCTAGTGCATCCAAAACCAAACTCCAAACTCACTGCCTTTCAGTTGGAGCCGACTCATAGTGACCCCTCCCACGGAGGTGGGTTGCCCAATTTTCCTTTCCAGGAGTGGCTGGTGGATTTGAAGCACCAGCCTTCTGGTTAGCAGTCAGATACCTTAGGTGCTACACCACCGGAACCCCCCACTAAATTAGTAGCAAAAACACCAGTTAAAGCATGGAGGCAAAAAAAAGACTAATTAAAAATAGTTATGAGAATTCTGTTCTGTTATCAGAAGAATAGTAAGTAAAAGAACTGGTGCTGGAGTTGGGTAAATTGCCTTTGGAACACTGTAGCTTTCTTTTAGAATCTTCTCTGTGTCACTTTTCATTGCAGTTTGTTTACAGCAGGTGAGATTTGATTAAACATGCAGTTTTTCTCTGGTAGTGTAGTGCTTAAGGCATTTGACTGCTAACCAGAAGGCTGGCGGTTCAAACCCACCAGCCACTCCTTGGAAGGAAGATTGTGCGATCTGCTTTTGTAGTGATACCGCCTTGTGTGGATTCTTTTGCGTCAACATGTAATACATTAAATTGAGACCCAGGAGTTTTAGGTTTTTCCTTTTCAACTTTGCTTCTAATCCCTGTGTACCTAAAGTCACTGAACTTGCTTGGTCCTTAGGTTCTTTAGAATCCAAAATGAGTGAATTAAATCACCTTGGATATCTGTGAATCTCTTTAGGCTTCTGAAAAATCTCACTTGAAAAAATTTTTAGTCATTCCTCGTTGTTGAGGTTTTTTTTTAATGTTCCATTAAATCTCTATCCATTTATTCTGATGTTAAGTAAAGATGAAGCCAAGTCTGTCTTCCATCAGTTTAACTATTGTATATTTCATTTTGTAACATTGACCATCTGATACATTCAAATAATTAAAGTGATAATATACATAGAATTGAGCTGTTTTGTTCCTAAACATTAAAAACGGCTGACTATTTTTCCTTAAAATTCACTCTAGATAGAGCTTCTTTTACTGCTTAATTCATGTTGCTTAAAAGCAAAGATTACTTTCATTTCATTTACTGCTGCTTTTCTTCTCAACATCACTCTTACTTCAACTTCCTATGTCAATCTCAGTGTTGATCTGTGGGATTGGAGATCATGGTATATAACATTAGGCATCATTATTCCAAAATTAATTGTGATGTTTGTTTCAGAATAGACCTGTGGCATTCTTGACATCACAAATTTGACACCAACTCCATGACATAATTTTGCTGATGGCATTTTTAGAGGCCTTAATTTTATTGCAGTAGTGAGAATCTTTTAATTAGGTATAGCAGCTTTGTTCTTGGCATGTGAAAACTCTTTAAATATATGCCAATATGTCAAATCTGGGTTGTTGTTTTTTTTACTTTTGAAAAAGTTTACATGGTAAGCAGTGGATTTCAAGAAGACCTATCAAAAGCTTCTGACCTAGTAATATTGAGTATAGTTTGGAGACTGTTCTGTGCTATTCTCTGCTGCCATGGGAATCTAGGCGATTTTATTGAAAATTTCTTCATACCTTTCTAAGCTCTGTCTTTCCTTATACTATATCTGATTTTGGTACAACCTCTTATGGGTGTGTTTATTTTATGAATCACTTATTGCTCAAAATTACAATGCAGTTAAGCAATTTTATGTATTTATATTATTGATAGAAGTTTCCATTTTGCCCTTATAGCTGAACTTGATGCTTGTGAAAGAAATAACCCAGTAAGGGTCTGAGAACTAATATTTTTATTTATATAGGTAACCTTCTTTTCCATTGTCAGTTTACTTAGGATTGATTTGTAACTGTAAACTTCAGATTTGCCATTAGATTGAGATTGATCATAATCAGAGATGTATAGTGACTTTTAAATCCCTACTTTGATTTTTTTTTTTTTTTTTTTTTTTTTGATACTTCTCAGCAGCACCGAGTCTGTTCCTAGTACTTTAGTATGCTGTTAAGAATAGGATAAGTGACTCTGTGGGATAACCACTTTAGACTATGTTATATTCACTACCAAGGTTTCCTGGTAGGAAGTGCAGGCTATAGTGGAATACTTCAGGCCGCTGCTGTTTGTACAAGTTTTAGAAGGATTGAAGATCTGGTGGCATAGTGCCTAAGGCATTTGACTGCTGACCAGAAGGCTGGTGGTTCAAACCCAGAACCACCAGCCGCTCCTCAGAAGGAAGGTTGGGCAATCTACTTCCGTAGTGTTTCCACCTCAGAAACCCAAGGAGGGTTTGCTATGAGTCGGATCCGACTTGATGGCAGTGAGTTTCGTTTGGGTTTGGTTTTTTGTTCCCCAATTTGGAACAGTTAGATTACCTTGAATTGTTTTATAACTTAATCTGTACTTCTATTAGAGTAGAAATAGATGTATATTCTTTTTATTTAGCCTTAACTGGTTATATTTAAACTGTCTTATATTAATATTTTACTTTAGATTTCCTACAAGAGATCCTGATATAAGAATGATGAGGCAAAATTACTTTCTAACCTTACCTATCCTTTGGACATCTTGAAAAGTGACTGCTCAGGGTTTGGTATATCATAGTCATTTGGTTCTAAAGGAGAATGTACCCTTGAGAGAGGAAAATTCTTACATCTGTTTTAGCAAGTAACTAGTCCTGCTCCCTTCCCCCATTTAAATAACCTTCTCTAATCAGATACCAGGTAGCAGGTACCTGCTTCCTACTTTCTTATCAAAAGTTTTTTTTGTCTTTTTTTTTTTTTTAAAAGTAACATGCCCAGTCACAAGAGACATTAAGTAGATAACTTATGGAACATTGCAGTACTCCATAATTAATAATAGAAGCAGGTAAAAGATTCTACTTGGAAGAAATTTTCTCCATCCTAATTTTCTGGCCAACACTTTCATTGTTCCTTATTGCCTTGTTGGCATTTTTATTAATAGGCATCTTGTTGGTGACCAGAGCAAATACAACAGTAATCCATTTCTGAAAAACACCATGCAGTACTCCCAAGCAGTTATACAACACTGCTCAGATTTCTTGCTTTATAATGAGATCTCTTTAATTATTTACCTCCCTATGTTCTCTGAGAAGTCTGCCTTTGCCTCTCTTCCAGTATTACACATACTTGCTTTTTATGTAAGAACCTGTAATGTTTTTGAGGGGAGAGTTTCCGTAAGTTAATCTTCAAAACAGCTTGTAAAGAAGTTGAACTTGTAGGGGTCACATGTTTAATCATTCGACTTGGAAAAAGAATAGCTACTAAGTTTGGTATTAAAGAAAATATAAAGAATGAATAGTATAGTTTAACAGTAAATTGATGATTATCTTCATTCCTTAACCACTAGCCTGATGGAATGACTGTCCTTCTCTTTACCCCTGACACTTTCCTTTCCTATCACTTTTCAGTGAAAAGAATCTAAATTAAGACCCAGCATCATTTACATTTTTTTAAAAAAAGGAAGTATAG